CCTCATTTCAACTCTGAGGGCATAGCGTTTATGTAATCAGAAGCTGCGGTAGCCAACATTCCACATTATATATTGAACCGGCACACTTAGCTTTTAAGAAAGCCAGTTCATCCTTCCTTGGCAGACACGAGCAGTACCAGTGACCAAGCAGACCACAGGCCTGAAAGGTGATGCTCCCTGAGAGGAGGACGTGCCCCTCATCACCACTCAAGGACCGACAGAAGACGGGCCAGAGCCACTTCAGAACACTCCTGCCCAGGAGAAATACAAACAGCACCTACAGTCGCTATGGAAAGGGAATCGCCTCTGCAATCGTGTCAAGGGAGCCACTGTCAGAGTCGCAAAGTGACTGGTCATTTGTAGACGGATGGCAATCTGCTGCTGGAACCACAAGTTGCATCTTGAGCTTCCATCTCTTGTGTGCTTGGGCGCTCACTCATCTAAAACAGGCAGTGATTCTCACTCTTCCAAAGACGAAAACCCTGATCGTGACCAGCGCCAACTCCTCCAACCCGTGTCAGAAGAGCTAAGCCGTGTCAGCACTTCTGTGCAGTTTGGAAAAGACCCCGACACAGTTCCGAGCACTGTGCGCCTCGCACCTGAGCCTCACAGAAGCAGCACTCTTCCATTAAACTAAGCTTCTGTGAAGCTCAAGCTCTTTATCCAGCATCTTCCTTCAGCTTCGATGCATTTAACAGGCCCTGCAAACCTGTGCCGGTGCCACACAGGAGGCTTTGCGAAGCCCACCAAGTAAGAACGTGCTTTGCAAGAACCTTTACACGAAGCTCTGCAGCACGTATTGGACTTCTGGGTGCTAGAGATCCTAATATTAAAGTAAAAGAACCTGCAGGCGTAAAGCCTTAGCTACCGAAAGTGAAAAGTACAAAAAGCATTAAGTACAACACCGGCCTTAAGAGACAGGAGTTGAAAGTACACACACACACACACACACACACACACACACGTGCAGGAGATGTTCTTTCAGGTGGAAGGATGCAGATGCCTTGGAAGCACTCAGGAAATGACCTCACAGTGGTACCTGGGAGGCAGGCAGGCCATGGCTTATGGTTTATAACACACAGGTTCAACACTCAGCACCCGGCCAAGTTCGTCCCGTGTAAAACCAGACCACAAACATTCAGTTACTGATTTTTAAAAAATGTCACAGTTCCACAAAAAGATAACAAGGCATACAAAGAAACATGGAAAACAGCTTAATCCAATGAAGACATCAAATCTCCTACGCTGGGTCTACAGAAAGCGGGGCATGGAAGTTACCAGGCAAAAGCTCAAAGTAACTGTCATAAGGATTATCAGTTCCTTTTCAGAAAAGCACAAACAAGTCAATGAAATCAAGAAAGTTACAATATCAGGAAAGACAGCGAAACTAAGAAGTAAAAGCAAACAGAAATGTTGGAGTTACAGAATACAGTAACAAAATGGAAAAATTCACTAGAAGTAGATTTAATTAGGCAGAAGACTGGCAATGTCAGAAGTTGTTGACTTGATAACCCTCTACTATTATGGACTACCAGAGTATAGTGGATTATTTTGCTGAATTCACACACCTACAATATTTAAATGGTAATAGAATACCCATCTCTGACTAAACTAAACAAAAAAATGGGATATAAATGAAGGACCATTTTGTATCTCTATATACAAAATAGGATAGATATACAGCTACTTTCTCTTACTTCAATGAGAAGAAAACTTTGAACTAATAGTGTTTGGACCGGATATCATGTCTGCATCTTGTACTATGAATAACTACTACAAAGACAACAATATGCAATGTATTAATCATTGTAACTGTTCTACTAACCTGTTTTGAAACTGTTTCATTGCTATTTATTTCTCAGTAAAATTAATAAAGATTAGGTACTAGAAAGAATCAACAAATTCAAAGATAGCACTTTCAAATCACCACTACAAGGAGCTAAAGGAAGATGGAGTGAACCCAGAGACAACAGTCTAAGGGACCTAAAGGACACTGTCAGAAGAACAGCACATAACTATGAGAGCTTCAGAGGAGGAAGAAAAGGAGAAAGGCCCTGAGAGCTTACGTGAAGAAACCACTCCTGGCTGAAAACGAGCTCACCTACTTACGTGAGGGCAGAAATGAGCACGCTCAGTCTGGAAGTTAAAAAAAACCTGCACATAAGGTCCCGCTAGAGAAGCTTAAGAGACATACCATAAGCGAACTGTACAACGTCACAAAGAAAAGCGTGAAAGGTGAGAGAGAAAAGGATCTGCTCTGCACCAAGGGCTCCTTCCGGCTCGTCGGCAAGCTGCGCAGCAGGAACTCTGCAGACTGGAGCAGAGCCGGACGGCACATTCAACTCACTGAAAGGAAAACTGCTGACCAGGTACGCTACACCCAGGAAAACGCATCCTTCAGAAAGTAGCAGGGATCCACAGGTACACAAACACTAGTGGGCTTCACCACTGCGTATATGACACAGTATGCTGAACAGGATACTCCAAACTGAAGCAACATGAGGCTGAACAGCAACACGACGCCAAAGGACAATGTAAAACTCTTTCAAGATCAGTATAGAGATAAACGTTGAAGACTGTAATGCCAAAATACAGGCACACAAATCATCTTTAAATTAAATATAAAATTTAAAATACAAAAGCTCAAAAATTATTAAGTTATGTTGACATACAAAGAGACCATCTGTATCATCAATAACACGATGTAGGGAATATTTTTATACAAATTATGATCTCATACGCAACTGAACTCAGATTAAAGTTTTAGGCTTTCTATAAACCCAATGAAAATCACCGAGAATATCTGGAAAGTAACAGAGGATCGTAAGAAGCAAAGAATCGACAACATCCTAAGCAACGAACAGAGGCAGCCAAATGGACTGGACGGAATTTTGTAGCGTCTCCCTGTCACAACCACCAAAGAAAGCAGCAAGCTAAGCAGCATCCATCAACACATGAATGGAAAATCAAACGTGGTGCAGTCATGCAGCACAACAGCATTCAGCCTTTACAAATAAAAGCTTGCTGCACACAGTGGGACAGACACCGAGGACACACGCCCAGCGAGATGCGCCAACCAGCGGCCAGAGGCAACACAACCACAGTCACTTTCAAGCATCTGAAGCACACAAAACCTACAGCTGGAAGGCCCTGTGATTCTAATACAACTGACTAAACCTAGCTGGTGCAAGACATTTTATTTTTCACGGAAATATTTTAAGTCTTTTTATATTATAATCTAATTTTATAATTTGCCAGTATTAAATTATTAAAATTATTATTAAATTATTTGATGGGTTTAGCCATCTTTGCCTTCTAAAAGCCTCATCCTGTAGCTGGCATCCTAAGTGTCCCCAAGGCCCATGTGTTTAAAGTCTGGGTCCCCGGCTAGGCACTGCTGGGGGCTGGAAACTCCAAGGGTGGGGCCGAATCGGTGGGTGTCCTCGCCTCATGACTGTGGGCTCCGGGTCTCCTCCTCTCTCTCTTGCTGCGCTCACCCATGAAGTGAGCAGTTCTGCTCCACTACCACTCCCCCACTGGAGCACCTGACCCAGAGCTAGACTCTCTAAAAGGAGGAACCAAAATAAAACTTTTCTAAGTTGACTACCTCAGGTATTTGTCATAGTAACAGAAAGCTGGTTAATGTACCTCTTTTCTAAAAGTGGTAAATCTCACACTTGCCTTCCTTCTTGCTAACCCTCATTCATTCATCATAATCCAGCAATGACCACGCAGCTGCCCAGAGGTCAGGAGTCGGGAAACAGAGCACGATCAGGAATGTCCCCGCTACTTCTGTACAGTGTAAGTCACAACAGGTGCAACAAATACTAAACGAGTTCAGGGAGCGATGGTATAAGGGAATAAAACCAGATGCTGAGTTTAGAAAGCGAGGGCAGTGCAGGGCCAGCCCCGCCCCCGGAGCATGCGAAGAAGGCAATGAAGACTGAGTGGGGGGTGCGTACCAGTCATCCCAGCATCTGGGAGGCTGAAAACAGGAGGGTCACTGCGAGTCTGCT